ATAGTGTTTGAGTGTTGTTGAGTGTTGTTGAGGTAAACGATAGTGTTTGTGTGTTGTTAAGGTAAACAATAGTGTTCGAGTGTTGTTGAGTTTTGTTGAAGTAAACGATAGTGTTTGAGTGTTGTTGAGGTAAACGATAGTGTTTGAGTGTTGTTAAGGTAAACGATAGTGTTTGAGATCGAAACTTAATGGTATACTAACTGTCCTGACGTCAATAGGTCACCACCTGTAAGTAGCACACGGTATCAGATCGAAACTAATGGTATACTAACTGTACTGACGTCAATAGATCACCACCTGTAATTAGCACACGGGATCAGATCGAAACTAATGGTATACTAACGGTACTGACGTCAATAGATCACCACCTGTAATTAGCACACGGTATCAGATCGAAACTAAATGGTATACTAACTGTACTGACGTCAATAGATCACCATCTGTAATTACCACACGGTATTAGATCGAAACTCAATGGTATACTAACTGTACTGATGTCAATAGATCACCACCTGTAATTAGCACACGGAATTAGGTCGAAACTCAATGGTATACTAACTGTACTGGCGTCAATAGATCACCCCCTGTAATTAGCACACGGTATTAGATCGAAACTCAATGGTATACTAACTGTACTGACGTCACTAGATCACCACCTGTAATTAGCACACGGTATCAGATCGAAACTCAATGGTATACTAACTGTACTGACGTCAATAGATCACCACCTGTAATTAGCACACGGTATTAGATCGAAACTCAATGGTATACTAACTGTACTGGCGTCAATAGATCACCACCTGTAATTAGCACACGGTATCAGATCGAAACTAAATGGTATACTAACTGTACTGATGTCAATAGATCACCACCTCAGCACATATCATTGTGTGTAAGGGATTTCGGACTAAATGGTTAAACATATAAAAAGATATTAGAAATATTGATACGTTTGTATCAACTGCTTCCACAGGGTACCAACGTTACAGGAGCAGAGGATTATCTCTAACGACGAGATCGCTATGACGTCACAGCCACGGCGACGGACGTCTCATGGGAGTAGCTTCGCCGGTTCTATGTTAAGTCTGATTACAGGCAGACCCTCTACCCAGGCGTATGTACACATAGAAACACATTTAAGGATATACTCTATTGAGGTTTCAATCACGTTCAAGTCTCGTTTTGATCTCAAATAACGGAGTTTTGTAATATTTAACAAATAAAAATCAATTTTAAAAGCAAACATGCATCTGACAAATGTCAAAAAACTAGTTGCCTGTTGTTTGTAGAACATTTTTCACAAAGAATTTAAAAAAAAATTACCTATTCGGCGGTCTTTTTGAAAATGCGTATGTCTTGCGCTTCACGAAAGGCCTACATGACACCTTTTCACACTAGACTGATCACTTGTCATTGTGTCGCCATTATTAATTGTAGCAAGTTAGTTTTTGCTGTACAACTTTAAAGTGTTCAATATGATGAGAATAATATGCAACAAAATGGATAATTATACATTATTATCAATGTTTTACGTTTTATGAAGCACTGTTGAATTATTTTTGACCCCGAAATAGGTGAAAAATAATGATAATTAATAGCAGAACGTCTTATATCAAGCGTTAAATCTGTAAAATATTGTGCAAAAACTAGTATTTTCTCACAAAAGATATGAGGTAGGGGTAAGTTTAATCACTTTCCTGAGTAAAAAGGATTTTTTTAGAAATAGTACTTCCATAATTTAAAAGAGAAACCTTACTTTTTTTTTTATTAATTCTGCAAACCTTCATTCCTATCTCATGACGCACTTGGAAGATACTACCGGAATCACAAATCAATTAAGATTAAATGCATTTTTCCATCAGAGTCCAATATTTTCCAAAAACACCCAACAGTAAACATTCCTGCAACCGACCTAGAATTCAAATGGTTACATAGATAAAAATGTAGTTTTCAAACTTTCCTCCGTTAAGTAAGAACTAGATTATATTTTTGTCAGTGATACCATGTTTTGTGTAAAGCCTTCTCGAATATATAATTATTTGATCCGACGTATGACGCTATTTTATTGATTGTAGGAGGTCCCCGCTGCACATGTCCCAGGATTACACAGACTATCGACACGTACCCAATGGTCACATGGATCATTTCAGTCCTCATCTACGCCATGATAGGTTTGTGTCCGTCGACATGGGCCTCCGTAGTAACGGTGGGGAACAGGGGGAGTTCTCCTCGTGGTCGTCGGATTCGGAATTGCGCAAAGGAAATAGGGTAGTAAATCACTTCGGGAGAGAGAGATCTCACACAGACGCGAATGAACGAGATTTGGAAAAAGACATGAAAAAGGAACGTCATCGTAAAGTAAGTTTCCCACTAAGTTTACTGAGGAGACTTCGTTCACATTCCGAAAAATCTTATCCAGGAAGTTCTAAAAGTGTTCATTATGACAGCGATCCGGATGCTACACCTGAATACGTACCGTTACGGCGGGCAACTTTAATTCAGGAAGCCAACAAACTTTCAAAGCCAACCGTCGACCGGAAGCGGAAACTCAGTTATCCACTTGGCATGTTGAAGCGGAATCACAGCGATTCATCCGAAGGGTGCGGGTCAGTGGAATCGGTTCCAGCAGAGGTCTTGACGTCACAGACCAAGCCGTCACGGTATAACTATACAATTCATTATTCATTATTAGCCTATGATCGTATTCTTTCGTTTTGTGTTTTAAGTACGAGCATGATAACAAAATGCATGTGTACGTGTCCATCGCATACTGGTGTTTTGCTGAATAGACGTTGTGCACTAACGCTTACTGTGCATATACTTACAATTATCTAACGCTTACTGTGTATATACTTACAATTATCTAACGCTTACTGTGAATATACTTACAATTATCTAACGCTTACTCTATATACTTACTGTGTATATACTTACAATTATCTAACGCTTACTGTGTATATACTTACTGTGTGTATACTTACTGTGTATATACTTACTGTGTATATACTTACTGTGTATATACTTACTGACTGTGTATACTTACTGTGTATATACTTACTGTGTATATACTTACTGT